TATCTCCGGTATGCGTGTTGTGGGTCAGGCATGAATTACTTGAAGATGGGTGTCTCCTTGCAGGTTTCTCTGCCTCTCTGTCTATTGTCACTTCAAACTGTGGCACTTCTGGCTTGCACTGGTTAGCATCACTGGAGGATTGCCCTGCCCAAGGGGAAAATGGCTGTCCTAAAACCAGTCCTTTCTTGAAAGAAGGGGGAATACACTCCTTGTCTGAATGCTTGTTCACCTGCACGTTCACACTATGGGTGTACAAACATCTAACCTGCTTCTGCTGGGGAAAATGTAAGAGCCTGAGCACTGCAAGGGCGCTGTCTGCTCCCCGGGAAGCCTGCTGGCTCCCATCCCGGTAGGGAGAGCTGTCTGGCTGCCTCTGGGTCTGCACTGGGGCCAGTGCAGCTCTCGCAGGCTTCTCTGAAGTCTGATGACCACCACAGCCTGTTGGAGACTTCAACAGGGACTGCAGAAAGCCTAAAGGGAAGAAAAAGCCTGAGATTTCAGCCCCTGTGAAACGGTCCAGGGCTATAAAGGCCTCGTGCTCTTTGCATGTTTTGGTTACCCCAGGCATCAGTCACAGGATCTGCTCTGTGACTTTCTTGTGACCTCCGGGCTTCCCACTCTCATCCGCCAGCCCTCCCCACAACACCCAGGGAGACATTTGATGCAGGTCCTCCCGAGGATGTGACTATGGCACTGCAAGGGAGGTTCCTGTGCTAGGAGGGAAGGGTTCAAAACCACCTGGGGCTCCACTGCTGCTGAAACAAAGGGTTCCTTTGCCTGCTCCTACACAGAGCACCTTCCCTGGGAGGGCTGTTTGCAGTCTGGGTCTTTTCACCTGCAGCTGAGATCATTTCTCAGGGATGCAAAGCCTGCGCTGGTGGAGATTGCACTGGGGCAGGATTTGAGCTGGAGAGTTGCAAATTATCATTGCATTCATCCCTGCTAATGGACCTAGAGCCTAATGCCAGCTTTTCAACTTTCTCCAGCTGTGTAACTGCTCCCAGTCAAGCCTGGGCAGAGACCACTGCTGGAGAATTCTCTGCCTGTGTTCCGATTCCTCGTTAGGGTTCTTCACTCTCTGTTGAAGAGGACCCTCTATGTTCCTATCACTCAACTTTTCCACCCATGTTGTAGAAAGGTTTCCCTTAGGGGGATCACCTTCAGCTTCCTGAGGGAGATGTCTTTTTTCCTAATGAGTGCCCTTGGGCCTTGCCTGGAGTTTTTGGACTGTGCAGTGTTATTGTCAAAACTTTGATTTGATTTCTTTTTAATTACTTGTACCTGTCTCTAGTCAATATGGATATTCTGCAGCAGCCTCTGTGAGAAATGAGGCAGTTCCTTTGTCTGCCTGATTGGTAAGACTTTTTGCTCTGTCATGTTCCACTGTAGTGACAGAAGGTCACTCAACAGTGACAGTGAGATCTTTGAACATTTATCTGATCTCCGTCAGGAGGACAGTTTCCTCCACTGCTTTTGGTTCCAGGTTTTTCCAATTTCAAGTCAGAGAATGTCAGCCTAATTCCAGCTTAATCTCACCTGGTTCCCCAGCATACATTTAAGAGGAGACACGGCTGATATCATGAAAAGAGAGTTACTACAGCTGCCTCATCCATGAGCCCTGAAGGGGTATCTTTGACGTGGTACTAGAAGATTTGAATTATCTTCCCTTTGAGGATGTCAGGGACAAGCAAGAGAGTGTAAGATTCGCCAGAATCTCCTGCTGGAGATCTGCCTTCCCGAGACTGTAGCTCCATAATAGATTCACATGCGTTGAATGACTGAAGTTCCCCAAGGCAGGAGATTTGAGATTATCTCGGAGCTTTTTTCCAGGATTTGGGATGTGCTGAGGTCTCAGTCTCCAATGGCAGCTACAATAGCTTCTTGCTGCCAGACCAAAGCTGGTGCTCCCTTTCAGATGTGTTCCTGATCACATAGTGGAGACCCATGCTGAACGCCCCTTCCCCATCCTCGCTTCTGTTAAGGACAACCAGGAATGTACAAGAACACCGTAAAAGAGAAGATCTCTGTTCACTAAAGCAGAAGTCTCTGCCCTCTAAAGTATTTGCTCTTCATCTCCCCGTGTTTTTTTCAGGCTTTCCCACCCAGGCTGCTGACTCTTAAAGTAGCTATTCCTTCTTTCCTTGGGACCTGATGGGGCTCTTCGTCCAGTGTTGTGTCGTCTTGTGTGTCTGCCTTGAGCTCAAATCTACATGGACTCTGTGATGAAGACTGTCTGTTGTTTTCCTGGTAGATGACCGGCAAGGCTCATTCCAAATTCTTGTAACGGTCATCTATGAGTTCTGATAAACCAAGGGAGTAATCTGACTTTCTCTTTTTTTCCCCCAAACATAGTAGTTCCAGAGAGGCCTGCTTGTACTAGCAGGGTAAGTTCAGCGGGCAGGAGTCTTGAAAAGTAATCTTCATATTGTCAGTCATGACTTCTGAGAGGCATAAAAATATTACGGAGCCCTAGGATGGCCAGTTTGGAACAAATAATTGCTGTCTTGGCTTATAGACAACCCTGTTCCCAAGTACCCTGGGTTATAATAGCATTTTGTCAGGTTTGTTAATCAGAAATGGAAAAATACAGCACAGCTAATCTCCAGGGCTGCCAAATAAGGTGTGTACATGTGATACTGAAAGACCTGGAACTTCCCAGGAGAGGGGTCATCCAGTTCAGAAAGGTGCCTGGGGATTACAGAAACCTACTGCCTTGTCAGTGTGCTGACACTCCCTGCCCTTCCTGTGCAGGCTGACCCCACAGCACGAGCGCTCGTGGGGCCACGGAGATTGTCCTGTACTTGTGCTCCCTTTCAACACCTGTAATTTAAAGGCAGGCAAGCAGCTGAGTACACACCGCATACATAAAAGATAAATAACATTGGAAGCACAACCTCTGTCTAGTTTGACAGGTTCAACAATCGGGCTGTCGCTTCCTGTAGCAGGCTGTCCCAGATCAAAGAGCTTGTACTGTTCCCTGGCCGCAGGTTTTTAGGACAGGGCTACAGCACCAAGTACACATCCTGCTCATAACTCAACACCCGGCGATTATTTATGGACCTTCTTTTGGGGAGAGTTTGCCTGGTTCAGAGGAAATAGGCCATGATTACTAGGAGCCTGGCACGCAGGTGTTTCCTGTGATACCTAGAAAAACCATGCATCTGACAAATTGAACAATCACCCAAACGCAAGATTGATGCTAAATATCAGAGCTTTTACATATACTTATTGTTCTCTAACCTTTTTGAACAGCCAGGGTGACTGACGGTATCTTGATTTAAAGATATGACTGTACAAACAGTCCACGGCTGGTTTTGAGCGTGAATTGGTGTGGAGAAAATCACTGTGCTGGAAAGTAATTGAAAACTTTCCAGAAAGCAGCAAATTTCTGTGGCTGTGAAAGCCACTCGCTGTTTGGATAAATTAAGCTATGAGGCTTACTGTACTTACACCTTCCCTTATCAAAACTGCCACTGGCGGGGGGGA